CGCGTTCGTTGACAAAACAAAACCGCCGTTAGAAATGGAGACCTTTCAATAGAGCGGAGGCGAACTGATCAACGAGAAAGAGGCCCTACTCACTACAAATGAATACACCACAAGATCGAACTACACTCATGCCTCTCCCGCATCAAGTTGACCGCCCCCTCCCTATCCCTAAGTAGTGATTCTATCAATCATGTACGTAGGTGGGGCCCTCCATTCTGATTGGTATATCATGAAAAAAGAAAGCCATTTACACCAGGCACACTGCGCTTTCCCTTGCCCAGATGTTTGCCTTTCTATTCTAAGTCAAGTAATCGTGACCCGCCGAAGACTGGAGCCTCGTAACATGTTGACGAAGACCTTCGAACTGAGGGTTCGATTAATAGAGGGGACGACTTTGCCTACCCGAAAGAAGAATAGCCCCGCTCTCTAGCTGACTGATCCCGTTGATCATATAACTGGGAGGGAACGTGTCACATTAGAGGTGAACGATCAGAGATGTCCTCTAATCACCACGATGAAGCTGGTCCCTCTTTTAGTAGACTGAGCTATGAATATGAATGAAGAAATGAATGCCGGGCTCTTTCTTTCACTGCTAACCCCAAGAAGTTTCTTAATGCTGATACTTTTTTTTCGTCGAGCCTCGAGCTTATGGTCCTCCTTCGAGTGTGGGTTCAATTGGATGAATCTGTCAAGTCAGTCCTGCTACCTACTATACTGGACCTTCGACTAGGCATTCTACCCTTGTCGAATCGGAACCAACCACCACTGCATTGCGCTCAAACAGTTGAGCGGCCGTCGGCCAGCAACTTCCGTACAAAGATATAGATTCATTCTTCGTAATAGGTCCAACCTCACAACCCTTCGCGGGTTGGTCAGAAGTCAGTCTTGTTTGGAAAGACGGAATTAGACAAAGAAAAGAGAGTGCTCGACCGGAACTACGGCCAACAAAGACCATAATTACATAGATAACTGCTCCTCCTTTCTCCGTCTTTAAGGTGAACCGGATAGTGGTTGGAAAGAAAGACGACCTCACCTTCTCGTAGATGGTGTCAGTGAGAGCTACTTTAGTATTCCTTATTGACCTTCTTTTGTAAATAGAATCTTCAATGAGTGGAAACAAGCAACCTTACTAATAAAGGTGCTTGTTGAGTAAGGCCGGCTTTAGAGCCCAAGCCCCTTGTATAGGTTGGGTGCTTGAGCGCATCTTTCTCATATAGATCCTTGAGTTTTCAATAAGGGACGCGTTAGCTAGGCCGTTTTCTTGCAAGAGTGCTAACGCGCGCCCTTACGTTTTCTTCGCTTGCTCTGCAGTACGAGCACAGAGCCGCACCCCTTTAATATGATGAGAAGAAGAAGGGCCACCCTCTTTTCTTTTCTGCACCAATCCTTATTTACTACTATATCTTTTTTTGGGTGTATAGCTCAGTTGGTAGAGTATTGGGCTTTTAACCTAATGGTCGCGGGTTCAAGTCATGCTATACCCAAACCCACCTTACACTATACTATTTGTAAGGATGCGTAGTAGCGTTCAAAGATCACTCTTTGGCCTGGCCTTTAGACTCGCTTTAGCAACTTCGCCCTTTAAGTGACAAGGGGGTACGGTAAGGAGTAGTATAACAGTGGCTCGGTCATCGATAGGCCTCTCCTTATTCATTCTATAGGGCGGGGCTGCGGACCAACAATCTAGCAAAAGGGCTTAAAAGCTCCTTTATCAATCAAACCTTCCTTCCCTATAAGGTAAGCATCAAAGCAAAGCCCAGAAAATCCAACCTATACAAAGAGCTCTTTTCAACCACTACTCCTAACAAGTGAAAGTTGCTGGCACCCACCATACCTTGCTTCGGGGCCGATCTCTTGTATCGAAGCAAATCAAATCAAAATATATATATTTATAGTTTGTTCCACCACAAATTTCGCCGTTGGATAGAGTCCCCTGATCTCGACATCCAAGCACGAATCCCTTGAGCACTTCGGCGGCGGATCACAGCATGCGCAACTGCGGCAAGCAGCCAATTCTTATTGCATTCAGCAAGATAGTCTTGCTCACTCCTGAACTCTGCGGCGAGTTCAGCCACCACCTCCGGGCCTGAGCTCTGCTCGAGCGTAGTCAGCAAGCTTCGTGACTTTGCTTAGCTTCCAGCGTTGCAAAGGAATAACCTTTCACTATCTAGGCGCCCTAGAAGGAGGGGTCCCACGGAGTTCTTCCCCAAAGGTAAAGCCGTAGTCCCTTCCCTCGGAGAAGTGGAAGGAAGACAGCCTATAATGTGCAAGCAAGCGAAGTCGAATATATTAGATAGAGTGCAGCAAGTCAGTTAATCAGAAAGCCAGGAGGTTAGCAGAGAGTGCCTTCTTTTCGACTTCTTCCTTTGAAACTGTCTGAAAGTGGAAGCATAGGCCTTTGTACCAGAAGAGTGCAGATCGAAATCGGAGAGTGAAGAGAGGAAGGAAGAGGAGACATCCTTCTTTTCTTGCTCTTGCAGGAGCTCGGACTCCGTTCAGCGTAGAAGGAAGAGAAATGAATCAAACAACGTATACAGATAGAGATGAGCGTTGCGCATTGATACCGATACAAAAGGGGACCAGACTGGGGAGGAGGAGAGGAAGTCCCTACAAACTAACTAGCTCATATTCGAAAGGGAAGACCTTAGCCCATTCCTAGGAAGCCCGGGACGGGGTTTAAGATTCCTTCAACTCTGCGGGAGTGCATTCAAGGAGTTGCTAGCTACTAGAAAGGCTGAAAGGAGACGAGCGGACTATTCTGTTACACAATCATTTCAGAACAAGATAGGACGCTCTCTAGGATAGAGAAGATAGGAAGGAATGCGCCCATATTCATATTCAAAAGACTCTAAGGAAGAGATTCCTACTAGGATAGCAACTCAAAACTAGCTAATAGAGGAATTCTTAAACATCCACATCCTAGAAGCTAGAAAGGAGGGAACTAGACTCAGGCTAGAGCTACCTAGATAGAATAGATAGGAAGGGATAGGCTAGCTACCTATTAAAGCATGACTACGTGGGATCAATCTAAAGAAGAAGAGCTCCTATTATGCGACATAAAAATTAGGACACAAGATAGGACGCAAGTAGGATAGCTCATACTAGCTAGCCGAGGAATGACAAAAACAAAGACCTAGCTACTAGAGGAAGTCAAGAGAAATCCTAACCTAAGAGCTCCAAGACCAGAACCTAGCTATCAATGATAGCTATTTTACACATATTTTGCATTGAATTTTGATAGGATTTAGGATACTTTTCATACAATTTGGGCCATATTGCTACCTAATTCTATTAATTGTCTTTGTAGGCCTAAACGATGATTTTTAGCAAAATGACAGTTTTGAGCGTAAATTAGTACTTGAGCTTGGAAACTCAGATAACCTGAATTTAGAATCTTTGGAAAGCAAGAATAAGAGCTACACTTTCATGTTTTGGGTTTTCCTAATTCTGACTAAAAGGGTGAAAACTTGGCTTGAAGTCGTGAAAAGTACGTTGTGAACTGAATAAAAACGTCTTTGGACGGCTTCAGTATTTCTACCAACTGATCTGTAGACCTCGGATGGTGTTGATCTTGAACTAACAGAAATATAATTGAAAGGGCTACAATTAATATTTCTAACCCTTTTCCAGATTCAGACTCCATCATGCTCAAATTTGGCCCAAAATTCTTCACCGCGGTGAACCCTGCATCAGATGTAAAAAATAAACGACGCGTTTTGGCTTGCTAGGGCTTCGTCCTTAAGTGAGAGAGGTATAAATTAGAGCAAAAAGGAAGAGAAAGTAGTCTTGGTTCGTGATTTGGGAGGCAGCTCTGAAGAAAAGATTATTGAAGATTTGGGCTTCAAATTAGAGAAGATTTCTCCATCTTTTGCTTGCTTTTCAATGAATGATCTTGATTCAGTTTGTTTTTGTTGTTTTATTTCGTTTTTGAGATGACTGAGTTGTTTAGCTAGGGTTTGATGTATCTTGATACAATGATTCAAATTTATATGGATTGATTTACTTTGAGTTTCAATTTCATGATTGAGTGTTTATCTCTTTGCTTAATGACTTTTGGATGCTTGATCACCATTCAAATGTGTGTTGTTCATAATGAGACTGAGAAGTGATTTGTGATTGTGCCTCTTAGGATAAATACCGTAGATTAGTAAACGCTAGAGATAGGTTTAGCGATCTATGATCTAGATAAATTCCATAAAGCTTAAAAGACTTTGAACTATTAATCTTCATTTTTGTTGGGTGCGGAAGCTTAATAGGGATAAGTAGGAAATGTTGCTGACAGGTATGTTTTACAACTTAGGGAATTCGATTTTCAATCAAGGAATTAGAACTTGGGTAATAGATTCTATGATTTGAGTTAGCGTATCTAAGTGAAATCAACACCCTAGCATTTTTTTAGCATTGTTTAATTAATTAAGTTGTTGGGTTTTTCATTTGTTTTTAGTTTGTTAATCGTCCATCAATCCAATATATTGTTGCTTCAATTAGGACTTTAACTAGAAAAATCGGTACTTAGTAACATTATCCTCGTGGGAACGATACTCACTCATCACTTTATTACTTAGTGCGACTAGTATACTTGCTACATTTTGCATGTTGTAAGAAACACGCATCAATCAACCAGAGCGGCCCCACCTGAAGAACTAGCTGACCATGCATTCCATGTTGCCGCCAGCTGCCCCACCTGCTGAAAGTATCTAAGTAGTAAGAAGCGGAAGCGAAAAGAGAAGCAGCAAGTGTAGGACTTCCGAAGTGCTTAAGGTTGTTCCGCAACTGCACCGTCCCCCCAAACCTAACTCAAACAGTCAGAAGTTTCACCCGCGACGAAGACTTCTAACCTTACAGAACATAAGAACCTAACGGGAATGAAATGAGATCTTGGAACAAGGGCAGTGGGCGTAGGGTTTGATCCTTCGCACCGAAAGGACTCGGGAAAGAGCCCTCATTCCAAGGGTTTGAGATCTTGGAAAGGACCTAGGAAGGAGCACGCGGAAGTCAATTCTAAGGTAAGCCATTCTTAAGGAAGACCTCTTGCAGTATGGAAGCTGCTAAGTGGAAAAAGTAAATAGGTGAAATGAAGAATCAGGCTTTTCTGGTCGAATAAGATAAGAGAGACTTTTGGGCCAAGAGTGCCCCCAGTGAGTTGAGTGGTCAAGAGCGCGGATGTACAATAGAAATGGTCGTCCTGGTACAGGGGCCGCTAATACCGGCAACTTAGTCAGGTATTCTTTTATGCTTTCGAATGCATCTTGGCATGCTTGGTCCCAGACAAACTCCATTCCTTTTTTCATTAGACGAGAAAAGGGTAGGCACTTGCCTGATATATTGGCGATAAACTATATAGGCCAGCCATCCTTGGTCTCAATTCCTTGATATTAGTAGGAATCAAAACCAGTATGAGTATGGCTTTGATTTTGTTTTGGAATAAAAACCTCAATCCAATTCTTTCGTACTATGAATCCGAGGAATTTCCCTGACGATACTCCGAAGAAGCACTTTAGAGGGTTCATCTTCAGGTTGTGTTGCCTAAGCCTAAGGAAGACTTGTCGTAAATCTGCTAAGTGGTCGACGATCCATGGAACTCGGCAGAGTGTTCCCTATACCCGGGTAGTTAGAGCTGTTCAAAGGGCTGACCTATTGCTGTAATTTTGAAATCTTCTCTCTTTTTCATTTTTTTGTCTCTGGATTTTCTTCTTTCTTTTTTTTCCGGTATGCCGCTCCGCGAGCAAGGAGCGAGAGAACCAAGTGGGCTGTGGTGATGTCAGAATTTGCACCTATTTGTATCTATTTAGTGATCAGTCCGCTAGTTTCTTTGATCCCACTCGGTCTTCCTTTTCCATTTGCTTCTAATAGTTCGACCTATCCAGAAAAATTGTCGGCCTACGAATGTGGTTTCGATCCTTCCGGTGATGCCAGAAGTCGTTTCGATATACGATTTTATCTTGTTTCAATTTTATTTATTATCCCTGATCCGGAAGTCACCTTTTTCTTTCCTTGGGCAGTACCTCCCAACAAGATTGATCCGTTTGGATTTTGGTCCATGATGGCCTTTTTATTGATTTTGACGATTGGGTCTCTCTATGAATGGAAAAGGGGTGCTTCGGATCGGGAGTAATCACTAGTGATAGGGCAAAAAAAGGGGGGAAGGACAAAGGAAAGAGCGATGCCTACATTAAATCAATTGATTCGTCATGGTAGAGAAGAAAAACGGCGCACGGACCGTACTCGAGCTTCGGATCAATGTCCCCAGAAGCAAGGAGTACGCCCGCGTGTTTCAACGAGAACACCGAAAAAACCTAATTCAGCTCCACGTAAGATAGCCAAAGTACGGTTGAGCAATCGACATGATATATTTGCTCACATTCCGGGCGAAGGTCATAATTCGCAGGAACATTCTATGGTCTTAATAAGAGGAGGTAGAGTGAAAGATTCGCCAGGTGTGAAATCCCATTGTATTCGAGGTGTCAAGGATTTGCAGGGAATCCCAGATCGAAGAAGAGGCAAATCAAAATACGGTGCAGTAAAACCAAAATCGATATGAATGGAAGATGCCTCTAGCACTTTTTTTTCTCGGTCAATCGAGGACAATGTTACGCCCTAAAATAGAAAGTATACGGAGCCCTTTTGAATGACCTAGAATGGAGTCTACTACACTAGCCAAGAAAGAGTGTAGTAGACTCCATTCGCTCGTGGAGGTGAGTGGAGGAAGAATCTAAAAATAGAATAGAAAGTTATTGCTTATAATAGTTGCTCGTTCATAAATTCACTCGACCACTTAGTCTTGCTACACTACACGACACGAGTCTAGGGTGAAGTTGAAGTGAAGCAGACACGGTCAAGTGAAGTCCACTTCACAAGTGATTCAGCATACCACAAGAAATAATAAAAAGAGAAGGGTCTCACCCAGGTGGCTCCCAAAAGATAACAGAAAAAAACTCAAACAAAGAACATTCGTTGCATCTAGGATTCAGACTAGCCCACAATCTTAAACCAATTCCTCCTATCAGAGTTAACCCATGTCGCAAACCAATCCCTTTCATCAAACAAAGACCATCAAGAGTTCATCACTACCAGACTACGACCTCTACTCAAACAGGTCCACAAACGAATTCGCAGTTTCAGCAGCGTAGCCTTTTCTGAATCTCAGTTCGTCAAAAGGCCAATAAACATAGATAGGGCTACGAGAAGGGAACAGCCTTGATTGTGTTCAAGGAGTGACTTGACTAGCAGGAATGGTAGACGGAGGAAAGGAATCCAAGTCAACGGTATTATCGGGAGAAGAAACAAAGACGAACCTGAGATCATGGATGAGAGAGTTGTTTTCCCGGGCTATTCTGTATTAGAGAAGTTCTACCCCACCCAGATCTCAAAATCTGTAGGATCAGTCTCTTCGGGTGATGGGTTCCTGTCCGATAAAGGGAAGAGGCAAGCTCAACAAGCAATCAAGGAGAAGGAAGTCTTAAGCCAAGCCAATCTCTTAATAGACGCCATTCTCAGATCTTGATGTGACGGGAGGTGCCAAGTCCAACAAGAATGGTAGCAGCGGGAAGTGGGAAAGAAAGCATTCGAGTCTGTCTCCACTACTTAAACTGACACCGATCTCTCTATTACATCAACAAAGCCAGCTCAGATTCAGAAAGTGCCAAGCTTGGGCTTAATAACTTCGGTTATTGATTCATCGGGATCCGAGGAGAGGTCCTACGAAGCCAAGCCGCTAACCCCAAGAAGCACTTAGACTATCTTACAATAGGGCTTTCTCCCCTTCTTTTCCAGACGCCCATATGAAAGCAAGCTAGCACAAAAGCAAGAGTAGCGCTAGCAGGAGACGCTGTGACCATTAGGCGAATTAGAATTAGGGCAATCGAGTAGCTAAGGCTGAATTTCTGAGGAATGCCAGCAGCTAGATCATCCCACCACAGCCACTCTGACATCGTGAGCTCCGAAACTCCACCATCAGGATAGGAGGAGATGGGATGGAACAGAAGGACTTGAACTGATGCCGTGAGAGAACCGATGTCCAACCAAAAAGTTGAGGTGAACGGGAGTGATGGCCTACTCGACCGTAGAGCATTCTTCAAGCCCAATCGAAAATCTCTTGCAGACTGGATTATGGATTATTGAATCAATCACTTTCTCGTCTTACTACAGTGATCAGTCTGGATCCAATATACCACCCTATCCAGTAACTGCAGAGGGAATAAAGAATCAAAGCGTAGTAGCCGCATCAGCAGTTGAGGGAAGCCAGGTTAAAGTAGAAGATCTTTTTTTTTCGATCGGCTTCTTCCGACAATTAGTGGAGGAAGCAATCAGGCCAAGCTCCAAGCTACGGACTTCCGACTCTTCCGGCTCTATTTGTATTGGAAGCGAGATGAGATTCCTTCTTTAATTGAATCGGGGAAGTCCTATGACACCTCTATTCCAGCAAACAAACTCACAGAAGGTATGGATGTGTCTGATGATTCAGGGAATGAGCTATCAGCAGCTTAACCGATAGATGAAGGAGCGACTAACAAAGCCGGATCATAGGGGCCTACAAAAAAAATTTAGGAAAGGGGGGAAATAACATCACACCAGAGAGGATCGCAGATCTCTTTTTTAGCAGCTTAGTGCGCGCGTACCTGATCTGACCTCCCCTGGAAAGATATGACCTCATCCGGCCGTCAAGGGAAAAGTAACAGACCGAAGCCAATACTATTAAGAAGAGAAGAAAGTGGGCAATTCGGAAGACTTGCTCGGTTCCCTAGGCTGATGCTAGAATAAGATCAGGAGACAGAAGATGTGAAGCAACATAAGCAGTATTCGTATTCCATACACATCCTTCGATTCTTTGATATAAGTGATATCATCTACATAATCTGAGCACCATTAGATATATTTGTCTTATTTACAGCAGAAAGCTAGGCAAAAGGCCTAGCTAATGATTATTAGATTATGTAAGGGCTACTCCTTTATTCCCAGTTCCATTACTGTTTCGGGAAAAGTCTTTTTCAGCCGAAGTTAGCTAACAGTTCACTATTACGCTGAAGCTCCTAGCTAAGTTGCGGAGTCTAAAACTACAAGGGACGAATCCACTTAAACTAACTAAAAAACTCCCAAAAAGAATGATTACTTTCTTTCATTAAATGAAAGAATGCCATTTTTCCTGTTTTCTTGTCTTGGCCCTACTTTGACTTCTTTGGTTGGGCTTCGACTACTAACTTTCCCTTCTCCTCCACTCATAGCTCTTTCCTTCTCCGCCTGACTAATGGAAGCAAGGGACCGAGTTCTTCCCTAGAACCAGAATCGAAAGAGTTCAATCTAAAACAGGTCCAACCAAGAAGCTTCCAAGCGGACTTTCAAGAAATGTCATATAGGGAAAGGAAAACGGACTCTCCAAGTTATAACTCTTCTCTCCCTCATCTTATAGTTCTCGGTAGAGCTTTCACTTAGAAGGAAGGCTGGTGCCCGCTTCCTTTCCTCTTCGGATTCCTATTCTGATTATCCAGGCTAGGATTCTCCTCTGCAAGAAGACATTTTCTAGGCAAGATAAAGGCTATACTAACGACTCAAGACCAAAAGCTAAGATATATCTATGAATAGAGTTCTAGCGGCATCCCTCAATATAAGACATGGAAAAATAAGAGGGGTTCCAGCCGGATAGATTTCATTCCACCACGCAGTAAGTTAAATAATTACTTCATGTAGTAGATCCTTCGATTCAATGTGGGAAAAAAGAGTCATTTTACTTTCGTATAAGCAGGGAAGAAGGTTTAGCTTCCAGACTTCTTCTTTAGAATAGAAGAGAAAGGTCTTGAAAACATTAATGTATTTCTTTCTTTCTTCCTAGTCATAGGCGACAGGCGGTCTTCCTAGCATTTACTCTACTTACTTCGCAACTTAAGAACTAGCTATCAGACTAGGTACCTGATTCAGGCATCTAGAAATGAAGAATAAAGCACTAAAAGACTATGATCTTGGAGGAGGACAGGCATTTACCTTGGAATGGCGGACTGAAGACCAAACCTTCAACCATTACAAAGGGGCTCCCCTGTTTGCTTTCGCTTAGCTTTATCTTATAAAGGGATAATTCATAAAACCTTGCTTATCCTTCTGATGAGCAAGCTTTCGTCTAACTTTGTTAGACTGCCTCTTACGAGCGGGTAACCTACCTTATAAACCATGCCCCACTAGACTTTCTTCTGAGCCAGCTTAACCCTTTAGTGGTTACCCTTTAGTTACTTCTAAACTAACCCCATGGATCTATTCTATTAGAGGTTATAGTAACTGTAAGGATGGAATAAGTAGAAAGATTACTCTTTCAGTTGTTGATTAAAGTGAGCCTGAACGCACTTCATAAGTCTTGGTTGCCTGTTGCTGTTTCAGCCTATTCCCCATAAGAGAACCATATCTCGAGCCTTACTTATACTTATAAAGTGGAATTGCCCCCGACCTAGATACAAGCGCGTTGAGCTTTTAAGTACATTCCGAAAAAAGAAGCGACAAACTTACTCGATAGGGGAGAAAAAATAGCTTTTAACCCGAGTTTAGAAAGGACCACAAACACAAATTGCTTCTCGTTAAGAGAAAGGAAAGAAAGAAGTTCCTAATGACAACTGATATGTTGAAGCAGGGCAAGACAGGAAGGAGCCTTTGAACAACCTGATGAATCGCCTTAAATGTGCTTTTCTAGCGTCTTTGAGTTTCTGTTATAAGCCAACCTTTTCTGATCCTAGTTCATAGTAGGGCAAAGAGTCCTATGCCCTCTATTCTGATGATATGGATTCGACTTATTGGGTGATTATGGAAAAGTGAGTTGTCCCTCTTCAGAGTCAAATTCTGGTTTGGGTGCAGATGATACTGAGACATCGCCTGATGCTGAGGGATCCGGATATTTTGTTTCAAGAGAACCTGGATCCTTTGGTTCGGGAAAAGCTACTTCACGCTCTTGCCTCGGTTGCTTCACAAGCTTGCTTGTCAGCTTGCTTTGCTCTAAGTTGACCTTTTACCGGAAAAAAACCTCGACCTATTCTAACTTTTGAAAGGATATTTTTCCCATGCCTTACGGGGCCCCGTGGATTTGTTTTACTAAATATTGTCTATGCCTACTTTGTTGATCGTTGTAGAAAGAGCAAAATATGGAATGATTGAGGTTAGGAAAACCTT